GCCGGCCATGAAAGCCTTCGACAATACAATACAGTAAATATTCATCTCCTGTACGGAAGAAGCAAGATGCAGAGTTCAATCTTCAAAGTTTCTATTATTAATATGTGAGCAAGTTCTATAGCTGAAAAGGAAGAAAAATATCTTCAAAGACTACATTTTCCCATTCACACACACAGACTTAATACATTTCCTCATGCTGTGGTGACCCCCCAACCATAAAATTATTATTTTTGTTCCTATTTCATAACTGTAATTTTGCTACCGTTATGAATCATAATGTAAATATCTGATCTGCAGGATGTATTTTCATTGACTAGACCACATTTGGCACAAATACCCGATACACCCAAATACTGGTGGGGTTGGGGGGGGATTAATTTTGTCATTTGGGAGTTGTAGTTGCTGGGATTTATAGTTCACCTACAATCAAAGAGCATTCTGAACCCCACCAACAATAGAATTGAACCAGACTTGGCACATAGAACTCCCATGATCAAAGAAAATGCTGGAACGGTTTGGTGGGCATTGACCTTGAGTTTGGGAGTTGTAGTTCACCTACATCCAGAGAGCACTGTGGACTCAAACAATGATAGTTCTGGACCAAACTTGGAATGAATACTCAATATGCCCAAATGTGAGCACTGGCGGAGTTTGGGGGAAATAGACCTTGACATTTGGGAGTTGTAGTTGCTGGGATTTATAGTTCACCTACAATCAAAGAGCATTCTGAACTCCACCACCGATTGAACCAGACTTGGCACATAGAACTCCCATGATCAAAGAAAATGCTGGAACGGTTTGGTGGGCATTGACCTTGAGTTTGGGAGTTGTTGTTCACCTATATCCAGAGAGCACTGTGGACTCAAACAATGATGGATCTGGACCAATCTCAGCACCAATACTCAATATGCCCAAATGTGAACACTGGTGGAGTTTGAGGAAAATAGAATCTTGACATTTGGGAGTTGTAGTTTCTGGGATTTATAATTCACTTACAATCAAAGAGCATTTTGGACCCCACCAAGGATAGAATTGGGCCAAACTTCCCACACAGAACCCCCATGACCAACAGAAAACGTATATTCTGACGGTCTTCGGCGACCCATCTGACACCCCTTCATGAACCCCCCCCCGGGGTCCCGACCCCCAGGTTGAGAAACAATGCACTAGAGAGAGGCACAGATCAGAATGAAAGTGAGGTGAAGGAAGGAAGATATGACCAAGAGGTCTTAAAACAAAGGAACACGCATCCTGAAGAAGTTCCATTCCAGGTCATCATTTAGGATGGGAGGAGAAAGGAATGAGGGGCATGCCTAGCTTAATGGTATCTATCTGCTTCTCACTGAGGACTAGAGGCTTGAGAGTGTGAGGTTGAATGCCAATACCCGCCCTGAGACCCCACCTGTAGCCTACTCACCTCGAGAAAGGCGGCCAGCACCGCCAACCCGCCGGGCTCCTTTGCTGCCTCCTTGATGCTGCCGAAGCGGGAGTCGTAGTGGACCACGTGGAGCTGGAATCAAGGGGAGAGAGTGGGCATCTCTGTGGGTTAGAATCAGGGCCGTAGCCAGAAAAAAATTTCGGGAGGGGTTGAAATTTTCGGGGGGGGGGGGTTGAAATTTTCGCAGGGGGGGGGGTTGAAACCTGCCTCCTAGCTCACGCTGAAGCAAAGAGCACAGCAGGGGGCAGAGCAGCCTTCAATAGCCTGCAGCTCGCCCTGTCAACCACCTCCACCAAGTCTGGCCTCCTTAATGAGAGCATTCAACCCCCCCCCAACTTGGTTGCTTTGCTAATAATAATAATAATAATAAACCTTTATTTGTACCCCGCTACCATCTCCCGGAGGACTCGGTGCGGCTTACAAGAGGCCGAGCCCAAATACAACAGTAAAAACAACAACAGCAATACAGCAAAATAACTCAAAAACAAGGCAATGACATTAACAACACACCATGACGCAATTAAAATCTGTGGCAGGACCAAATGTAATAATTAAAATTAAAAAGTGCTGGGCATGACCAGGTGAAAAGGGTAGGTGTTTGGAGGGGGTGGGCATGCAGTTATCCTGGCTGGGGCTTGCCTGGTGTCCTTAGGGAGAGAGTTCCAGAGTCGAGGGGCCACCACCGAGAAAGCCCTACCCCTCGTCCCCGCCAATTGCACTTGCGATGCAGGTGGGATTGTGAGTAGGGCCTCTCCAGATGAACAAAGAGATTGTGTGGATTCGTACACAGAGATGCAGTCATGCAGGTAGGCGGGTTCCAAACACTGTGAATAAATTGTCAATATTTGCTTGAGATAGTGCTTGCAGTTCTGGAGGGACTCTTAATTTTTTGCATCTCATAGACTTAGCATGGGGATATGGTTAACCAGTTAAAATTCATGAGTAAACCAGGTTTTTTAAAAAATCTGAAACATTTCGGGGGGGGGTTGAACCCCTAACCCCCCCCCTCTCGCTACAGGCCTGGGTGTACAGCAGGGTTGTATACTCTGGCCCCCCATCTCCTTTTCAGAGTTCCATTTGTGAGCCACAGCCATGCTTTTTCTTTATTGCTGTTGTTGTTGTTGTTTACAAGGTTCCTTACATTAAGAAGGAAGCAAACAATGCTCCTTAAGAAGGAAAACCAATGATCACTTAAGGAAGCAAAGTCAACATCTGTCCAGGAACTGATGGGGAGCCAGGATGTTTCAGGCTGGAAAACAACTTGTCACTCAGCTATATTGCTGTATTTAATTGCTATATAAGAGACCTTCTAAAATTCCAAAAGTGTGGCAGACAGCTGGTCTGGTCACCCGCCATGCTCTGTTCCATGAGAAGGAGAGAGAGTTGGTGATAGGATGACAGATCTGCATGGAAAGCAGAAGTCTGGTTGTCTGCCTCCTTCTCAGGTTGGAAGGGAAGAAGTGTTCTGGAAGTATTGGAAAAGTGGCAGATTTGCAGGGAAGGCACCTGGCCTAAGCGCAGGTGTTCTTCTCCAGGAGATGGAGGAAGAATGGTGATGCATGCATGTGAAGGGTGAATGTTTATCTATGTGAATGCTGAGTAGATATGGAATCCTCTTTGTTTGTTGACCAAACCCTTCACCCCAGGGATCCCACTGGCCTTCAGGGGAGTCAACAAGCTGGGTAGATGCAGGGAATGCCGTGGATGTAGCGTACCTGGATTTCAGTAAGGCCTTCGACAAGGTCCCCCATGACCTTCTGGCAAGGAAACTAGTCCAATGTGGGCTAGGCAAAACTACGGTGAGGTGGATCTGGAATTGGTTAAATGGACGAACCCAGAGGGTGCTCACTAATGCTTCCTCTTCATCCTGGAAAGAAGTGACGAGCGGAGTGCCACAAGCAGGGTTCCGTCCTGGGCCCGGTCCTGTTCAACATCTTTATTAATGACTTAGATGAAGGGCTAGAAGGCAGGATCATCAAGTTTGCAGACGACACCAAATTGGGAGGGATAGCCAATAGTCCAGAGGACAGGAGCAGGATTCAAGTGATCTTGACAGATTAGAGAGATGGGCCAAAACTAACAAAATGAAGTTCAACAGTGACAAATGCAAGATACTCCACTTTGGCAGGAAAAACGAAATGCAAAGATACAGAATGGGGGAAGCCTGGCTCGAGAGCAGTACGTGTGAAAAAGATCTTGGAGTCCTCGTGGACAACAAGTTAAACATGAGCCAACAATGTGATGTGGCGGCAAAAAAAGCCAATGGGATTTTGGCCTGCATCAAGAGCATAGTGTCTAGATCTAGGGAAGTCATGCTCCCCATGCTCTATTCTGCTCTGGTTAGACCACACCTGGAATATTGTGTCCAATTCTGGGCACCACAATTCAAGAGAGATATTGACAAGCTGGAATGTGTCCAGAGGAGAGACTAAAATGATAAAGGTCTGGAGAACAAGCCCTATGAGGAGCGGCTTAAGGAGCTGGGCATGTTTAGCCTGAAGGAGAGAAGGCTGAGAGGAGATATGATAGCCATGTATAAATATGTGAGAGGAAGCCACGGGGAGGAGGGAGAAAGCTTGTTTTCTGCTTCCCTGGAGACTAGGACGCGGAACAATGGCTTCAAACTACAACAGAGGAGATTCCATCTGAACATGAGGAAGAACTTCCTGACTGTGAGAGCCGTTCAGCATTGGAACTCTCTGCCCGGAGTGTGGTGGAGGCTCCTTCTTTGGAAGCTTTTAAGCAGAGGCTGGATGGCCATCTGTCAGGGGTGATTTGAATGCAATATTCCTGCTTCTTGGCAGAATGGGGTTGGACTGGATGATGGCCCAGAAGGTCTCTTCCAACTCTTTGATTCTAGGATTCTATGATTCCCTCTTTGGAAGAACTTCATAAGACTGGCTCCAGAACCTCAGAAGGACGGGAGGGCTGGACTAGATGCCTTCAAGGTCCTTCCACTTGTGT